AAGCCAAAGTTGAACAGTGTTTGAAGGTGTTAGAAAAGTAGGTGCTATAATATTTACTGGCATAAGCGGAAGAAAGAAACAAAGCAGCACATAACGGAAAAAGAGAAAGAGAGACACAGAGAGAAAAGAAAATGTTGTACCTATAAATGATATGAGTTGGAAAGACGAGGTCCCGTTGTTCTACTGACTATTTAATGAGTTATAGGTGTCACGCCTAATGTTTTCTTTATCACACAGAACACGAGATAAGTAGGGTATGGTTGAGTTTTTGTACTTGCTGGTGCGAGCATATAGTTTTCTATATAGGCTTCTGGTTTTGCCTGATGAGATGCAAGGGGAGAGTTGTGAGTGAAGAGGGTGGTGTGAGTTAGATAAAATGGATTTGGCCCATTTTTCACATGAGTCCATGTGCCTGTCGACCAGAATATTAACAAGCTGGTTAAGTGGCACGTTACTTACCCTGCTGACAACCTTTGACGTCCTGCGTAATATGTTATAGTCTTTCTTCAGTAGCCCGGGAAAAACTAAGGGGGAACAATAGAGAATAATAGGCAGAATACGAGAGTTAACGAATTGTAGGAATAAGGGTGGGTTTATACGAGAATGTTTTAACTTCTTGATGTAGAAGGTAAGACGGAATATTTTCTTAAAAATCGCCAAGATATGAGACGACCAGGAAAGATCAGCAGATAGAATGACGCCTAGGTATTTAATTTCCGACTTGGTTTCTATTTCAGTGCCATCTATGTTGCATACCTCGTGAGAGCTAACCAGTTTGTTTAGGTTAGATTTATGCCTAAAGGTGAAATTGACTGTTTGGCATTTGCAGGGGTTTAAGGTAAGACCGTTTTCCTTGGACCACAGGCTGATTTCTGGTAGAAAGCCATTTAGTTTAGAGCGGTCACTTTGACATTTGTCAGGCAAAGATACAGTCAGATCGTCAGCATATTTGACAAAATTAATGTCATTTGAAGATGGTAAGTCATGTAGAAAGAAAGAAAAGTGGGGAGAGTACGGCACCTTGGGGGACACCACCTTCGGTGAGCGCAGCAGAGGAGGATTTACCTTTGTATACGGTGTACTGCATTCTGTTGGAGAAGTAGGAATGCAACCAGTTAGTGACCCAGGACTCAGTTTGTGTCATAGAGAGCTTATTTAGTAAGAGACATCTAGGTACAGAGTCGAAAGCAGAAGTGAAGTAGAGAAACGTGCAGCGGACGTATTTGGCACCTTTATCTAATGATGAGACGACACTGTTGTGTAATGAAATTCTACCGCCCTCTAATATTCATCTCAGATATTCTTTTAATTTGATGGAAGAATTTTCAGCTCTGATTTTAAGTGTCACATCTATTATTCCCCTTCAGAATGGAAATGTCATTTAATATTATAAATTAATTTTTGACTAAAAATCAAAATATTTTAGCAGACATCACTAATGCGATGCAAGGCAGTTGCTAGCTCAATCCTCGAGCCCTTATTGAACTCAAGCCACATAGCTCCACCAGAGTCGTCTTTCAAGATTATCTACAAGATGAGGTCAAACGGTTCAAAGGCCGGCATTTGTGTATGGTGAAGGCATTGGCAATTCGTCAATACAACCCTGAACTCTGTATACAGAAAAAGTTTGTCCAGTCTGCTGTTCTACCTTGGTCTTAACCTCTTCACTAGTGTTCCCTGTAAATTTTTACTTCTAATGATTACTTTAATAATTAATTCAATATTATCATTCTCACATGTTCCTTTCGTACATTTTATCACCCTCTTCACACTTGTTAGATGGAAACTCAACTACCTTTCTTCTGACTCAATAACAATTTTAAACTTATCAAATTTGTAAACCTTTGTGCTATTCAGTATTACGTAATTTATACCTTTTATTTTTTTACTTCTGAGTAAATTTTATCAATTATGTCACCCCCTATCACTCAATAATAGACTAATATACATTTTTGGTAAATAGGAATACGACTCTACAGTTTCTGTAGATGATTTCATCGATAAAAAATTTCTTTTCGCTGAATTGTCTTCATGACTCAACGGGTATTTTTGGCGACATCACTAATAATAAAAGTAGCTGTCAAGGAACTTAACCCTAAGTTCCTATTATTTGCGAAGACATTCCGAATCGACAATTACTAGGTACGATTTTCGACTTTAACTCCAAAACACAAGAACCAATAAGAAATTGTATTGTTCAGCAGTTAAATTCGCTATTGTACAAAGTCTATAAACAAATTCAAATGAACTGTCGTCAAGATTTGACAGAATAGTTCTAAAATATTTGGGCGCCGAGTGAGAAGTACACATTTGTAAAAAATTATATTTGTAAAGTCTCAGCGAGATTGAAATGAGTAATTCCAACGTTTCGTTCGGCAATCTGGTCCGAACTTCTTCAGGGAAATTAATCGAAATTAACATAACATAGGTTTATATATAAAAAGGAACATCACTTGTTTTTGAAAATTTGTCCAATCATGAGTCATTCAACAAGTATAATAAACAAAATTTTATGAGCTGTGATCAAAATTTGACCTCGGACTTACAAATATTGGTCTACCTTTGTTAAACACTTTAAACAGAGTGTGTATGTGTGTGTGGGTTAACAGTTGTAAAACATTTCTTAACGTCTCCATAAGAAGATATGGACAGTCGAGAATTTTGACCAGGTATTAATAATTAGTGATACATATCCATTGTTATTTATTAATAAGGATTTCCTATGCATCAGCTAACATCACGCCTTCATGTCCGTTCAAACTGTTAGTATCTAGAATTTTATGATTAGACGTATTTTCAAAATTATGGTGTTTAGGATTAGCGTTTAGTAGAAGCATCCTGTCGGACTTATTGCTTTGCCTTCTTTCTGAAGATTGAGCTGCTTTATTCGACCTACTGGAGTTGTCAGGTGACTCGACAGCTACGGATTTAGGATATGCATTCTGTTGCAGACAACGGAGAGTGAAAATACGATGATTGTGCCAGTTACACAGTTTCTTTGTTAATTTAATTCGATTGCAAAATAATTCAAATGAACTGTCGTCAAGATTTGACAGAATAGTTCTATATCTTCTTATGGAAACGTTAAGAAATGTTTTACAACTGTTTACCCACACACATACACACTCTGTTTAAAGTGTTTAACAAAGGTAGACCAAATATTTGTAAGTCCGAGGTCAAATTTTGATCACAGCTCATAAAATTTTGTTTATTATACTTGTTGAATGACTCATGATTGGACAAATTTTCAAAAACAAGTGATGTTCCTTTTTATATATAAACCTATGTTATGTTAATTTCGATTAATTTCCCTGAAGAAGTTCGGACCAGATTGCCGAACGAAACGTTGGGATTACTCATTTCAATCTCGCTGAGACTTTACAAATATAATTTTTTACAAATGTCTATAAACAAATGTTTTACAAGGAATGTATTGTACTTTTATTCGTATTCTATCGTCTTCTACCAACTTGAACCATTCGCGCCTTCGAGTTTCCCGCCAATGGCGACCAAGGTCAATGAACCAACGTTCACATTCCTTTACAGTAGCCTTAAAGGTTAAAACTACTCCATGGACGTTTAAAATTCAAGTTAATTTTCTATTTAAATAATAGCTCCATAAATGATCTGGCACGGATGGAGATGAGTAGACATCGGTCTTTCTCTAGAAATGCTTTCTCATGTAGCGATGTGTTCATAACCTGTGCGAAGTAAGTTATATTCACTACTTCCATGCAGCGACGGTGTTCAACACAAAAGTGAAAGAGTGAATGCGAATGTCTAGCGCTTAGAACCAGGCTGGTGAACGTGCAAGTCCACCTAGTGGAGCTGAAAAATCCTGATTCCAAACCTATGGGGTGTACATAGACTTCAGAATCCGAAATGACCGAATGGCACAAGAACCTGTTTTGGTCACCGGCAACTATAAGCAGGGGTGAGTGGACACAGCCCCTGACTGCCTGGTATGCACATCAATTTCTTTCTAGAGGACAGATTACACTGTAGACAGACATTAATTAAAATAATCCATACTGAACATGACGTTAAATAACATAGGACCCCCTTGCAAAGCACATTGGTAATGTGTCAAACTTAATTCAAATTCATTATCAATGAGTGATTCTCTGAATTATTATGACTGATATTTCATGTCAGTCTGTTTCTACTTTATACTATAAACCTGTTTTAATAAACATTTCTTTACTACTATTCACACTTCAGGCATGCATGTTAACTGACAGTAAGTGTTATGGATCTACTTTCGCCCGACTCTAACGAATACACACGCACAAACTTAGCACATATGATGCAAAACTCGCAAATGAACGACAAAATTTCAACTACTTTTATATATAGATTATTAATCAGAATAGCGAACTATCTAGATACAATACAATAAAATGAAAATTACCTGAAGTAAAGAAATAAAAAGTAGAAATAATAATAATAATGGTAATAATAATAATAATGTTAATAGTAATATTGGCTTTGCTGCTTAGTGAGCAAGATATATACAAAAAAACAAAAATAAAATCTAACTTTACACTCAAGACTGTTTGTAATTGTGCAATACAAACAGAAAAATAGATTGTCGAAAATGAGAAAAAAAATCCAAAAGCCGAAAGATTTGAAAACAGAAAAATTAAACAAAACAAAAGTAAGATATTATTAATATAAACAATCAAGAAAGTAGAAAACAACTTTGTACAACTCCCGCCACCATATTGAATAACAAGAGAGATAGAGAGAGAGACTATATAAGCGAATATAGAAACAAAAAGAATATTTAGAAATTACACAGTGTTGTAATGTGATTAGTTAAAGTGAAAAGTGGATTAAGTAAGTTTGACTGGTCCTCTTCCGTAAAGATACAGAAAACGAGAAAATGCAGTGAAAATACCACTTGCATACACATTTATACTGCAGGTGTTTTGGCACATACACACACAAAAACAGTGACACAGTATATGATCACCTTTTGGAATGAAAATACTCCGTTTTTAGCATACAACACTTTGATCTAACTCTTCAGGAGTTTTTGGACAAGATAGTTCAGCAGCCATCCATTCAGTACGATCTAGACTTGATCTAGGCGGTCTTGATGTAATTTCAAATTGGTGCAAACATCGAAGTGTTGTTACTAAATCCAAATTGATAGATAGTCCTGCATTTCCTAATCGTCGACCAGCAATCCACATTGAAGTAATCAGGAAGCAGATGTTATACATTAATATCACCACACTTAATTCATAGCTAGGTGACACTGATGAATAGCCAAAAGCTCGAGATACAAACTGACGAAAAATTGATTGCTCTTCAGTTTGAACCTCATTGACTGTAGTTAACTCTTCTAAACTGTCGGCAGGTGTAGACGTGAATGGATTCAGTACATGTACAAATGAATACCAATAAGTAAAATCAAAATAATAATAATCACCAATGAATTTATTCCACCAGCTGTTGGATATATGACTCAACTTTTTACTTGGACAATTAACAATATTTTGGTCACAATCATTTTCATTTTCCAATGGAGTACAGACTAGATCTGAGCATTTAGATTGTGTGGATGTGACTGATTCAGATTTCAGTGGATTGGGCAATGTAAGCGTGGTCAGTCCAAGTAGATTGGTTTGTAAAGGAAGTGCAGTGCTCAATATTAAAAATAACAAGACATTGACCAGCATAATGTCTAAACTAGTTGCATGATATCGCGGTCGAAGAAAACCAACAAATGGAAGTGAGTAGAATCCCCATAAACCCAGAACAACAAGGAATACTACCAAACAGACCTAGAATGTAAGTTTAGATCGATACATTAGAAATGCAAAGATTTAAACACAAACAATTCTTAAATAAAGTCCCTATTTTAATATTCAAAATACTTAAGAAAAAAAGTAAGTGAAGGTTGATACTTCAATTTTCCAAAATTCCATGAGGTTTTCGACTAAGTTATCGAAGCATAGAACGAAGCAGTTCTCACTCTTACGATGGATATGCATACCAACATCTACATGTCGTATCATGGCACTAAAATGTGTTTGTTCCAGAAAACCGTCTATTCTAAATGAGGCATGCCTCATTAATATGAATTTACCCAAAAATTGTGAAACGGGGAAATATAGCAATGCTATTAGTCATATATAAGAGTTATTTGAGATTACGGTTTGTTTATTAAACAGTAATTAACATGCTCCAAGATTATATAGTGGTGAATATCTCCGCCTGTCACGTGGAAGGCCCAGGTTCGATTCCCGGTCGAGGAGCTGGCTTTAACCTCGCCTAGATTACTGGCTCGCTGGTTTTCTAGCCGGTCTCAAGCCCGGATAAAGAGGGAGGGTTGGGACGTGATGCTAGCAACTTCACCCCCAAACCTTAACCAAATTCCTACAGAAACTTCAACGCATAAATATATTATAAATACTAAAAATATAAACAATAACCTTATTTTTCGCTGGAATCGGGGAAGTGAAATGACGCAGCCTGGTGAAAGCCTTCGGGAAGCCGGTCAGCCAATGTGCCCTCTTTCGATGAAAGCAAAAATAAGGATGGGGACGTGGAATGTTTGTACAATGTACGAAACTGGAAAGGCTGCCCAGGTAGCCGCAGAAATGAGAAGATATGGAATATAAGTGTTGGGAATCTGCGAGAGCAGATGGAACGGATGTGGAAGGTGCCAACTATCAACTGGAGAGACGGTTTTCAACAACTGTCTTCACTCTATACTGAAGATCAGATGGCCGGAAAGAACCACCAACAAGAAACTATGGGAACAAACAAAACAAGAACCAATCGCCCAACAAATATGCAGGAGAAAGTGGAGATGGATTGGACACTCGCTGAGGAGGCCGCTGCGCGAAATCGCGCATCAGGCCAGTGCTCGAGTGGAACCCGAAAGGGAAGCGGCGAGTGGGACGTCCAAGGGTGACATGGAGGAGATCGTGTGAAGAAGAGTTGAAACAGTATGGAATAAAATGGATGCAGGTGAAAAGTACAGCAGAAGACAGAAGCAAGTGGAGACGTGCAGTTGAAGCCCTATGTTCCACTAGGAACCCAAGGGAACAATAATATACAATAATAAACATAGATCTTCTGTCATGTTCACTAACTCTCACTGGGAGAGAATGAAGAATACAACTCAACAACCATGAACAGGATGATGTTACATGTTCAGAACTTTTTAAGCTGATGAAACTACTAACTTAACCGAATCTCTATAGGTCATATATTATCATGTTAGATGCTGACAGGCATTACTCCGATATTAAGAAGTGAGATTACTCTAACTTTATATTATTTGTGTTCATCCATAACAAGTGGAAAAAAGATAAAATTCACACAAAATATTCTACTACCTGAAAAACAGCTCCAATATGTCCGAGAGAAGAAACTGGTTTTACGCCAATTGTAAAACTAGGATCCGATGACCCCAATGTAGTAGTTGATGGATACTGTTTACTGTTACCACCCATTGTAAGATAACCAGCAGTACTGTCATCTCGACTACCATAACCTCCAAAAAACATACTCCATAGAAGATCCAAAATATTGAAGAATACAAATGATTGCAACAATCGTAGTAGAAGACAAAGTAGGACTAAACAACAAAAATTCACGAAAAGTGGTATAGAATCACGTGTAAACGGTGTGAATCGTTGTGGTGTTATACGCTGTTTGAGTTGTAGTAATTCTGTATTTAATGAATTCAACTCATTCGTACACTTCAATAATAAATCTTCATACGATTTAACATCAGTATAAGTTCGAAAACATATAGATTTATAATTCATAGCATTGTCATTATTATTTATGTTCTTCTCTTCACACAAGAGTTGTATACACTCAATATCGTCTAAAACAGTCAACATTTCCATATTCAGTTCTTCAATACGATCATACAATGTCTGTCTTGGAGTTGAATCAGATAGAGAGCGCATAATGAATGCAACTAAATTTAAACTGATAGACAACAAACCCATTGGTGTACAGATAAACAATAATAAAAGTCCTAATAGTGTAGCAGTCATTTGAATCAATTCTAAGCCTGACATCAATATTACTTGGATGCAAACATTTTGAAAGAAATTTATCCAACCAATAGAATTGATGGAGTTTTGTAGGAATGTAAATGGATGATTGTGATAATAGGCATGGTGGTCAGCAGGACTGGGAGTCGGCGAAGGATGCGATTGATGATGACGTTCAGTGAATATGGAAAATGTTTTACTAATACTACTACTGCCGCTGCTACTGCTGATACTATCGCCGCTACCACCAAAAGATAATCCACTAACATCTGCTGAGAGAAAACAACCATTTAAAGCTGATATAAAACTACTTAAAGACCAAACTGTACCAAAGCATAAAATATAAAAGAAGAACACCATAATAAAAGAATCTGTTAAACGCGATGCAAACGATGAATATGATTTGTGCAGAAATCCTTGTGAAATTAAAAGAAAGTAAGAGAATGGTACAGTTAGACAGGATATCTTACTGCCAATATCAATTAACAAGATTAAATCTTGTATTAATTCACTATTTAACCATTGTACATAATACGATTGTGGAAAGATAACTAATATTTCATTGGTTATAATAGTCAATGGTAATAGACTGTATGAAGTTAAGCCTATGGTCAGTGTAAATGTACACATGCCCAAGACTAGTTGATAGACTAAGCGTTCAGCTCGACAAGGCTTTAATTCATATTCTGTTTTAGTCAGAAACAACTGTAATATTGTATGAGCAATGAGGAATAAAAAGGTGAATATTAGAAAGACGACTACTAGGCCACGAATTTCATCGTAAAATTCCTTTGCTTCATGACTTATTAGCACCACTTCATCCGTTTGGTCCATGTAATCATCAATATCTAGAGTGGAGAAAAAGTGAAATATATAAAAAGTAATTAGAATGTAAAACAAATTAATAAAAGTATTCTATTTATCGTAAACTACTATGCTAATGATTTTAAATTTCGTAATATTCCTGAAGAACATTACCATTCATCATATTTATAACTATTTTCCATTTGAGGTGAGGTCATACACCCTGACGCATTTGGCTTCCTTATTAGTCGATATCAATTAATAGAATTATAGGAATCGGATACCTGCAAACAGATATTTTATTCTATTATTCTAACGGTGTTAACAGTATCGCATAGGGACAGAATGAGGCGTAGAAGATTTTCAGTCAGAACAGTATAGTCTTTTTTAACCTTCATTAAATATTAAACTAAGATGACTTATCGATTTCATAATTGCTGGTAACTGTTTGAATATTTTGTGATGACAATAGGCTCTATTGAAAATGAATGACCAACAGCACTCTTTTGTTAGTTTATTGAGCCTAACAAATTCCACTAGTCGAACTTAGTGATTAAAATATGTTGGGGACTCTTCATCAGTACGCACCCACCACCGGGGTTCGAACCCAGGACCTTCTGGTTACAAGGCGAGCTCGCAGACCATTGAGCCACTGGGACCCAATCCAATGGTCCTTGAATTCTAACTTCTGCCAATTCACGAAATAGCGCCACCATTTCGCAATGTTTTCTTCGATGAGTTACTGCCTCATATTCAACCTGCTGTACTCTACTTGTCACGGCTTCTCACTAGAAACCCCAGGTCACTGCCTGAATAGGGCCAGTCGCTAGTGAGCATCAGATTAATTTTCAAGTATTGGCTTTGGAGCGACTTTTCTTTGATTGCATGGAGGATTTCATTATGAGCTTAAATCAGTTTGAGAACCACTGATGTCAGCTCATGATGAAATCCTCCATGCAATCAAAGAAAAATCCCTACAAAACCAATACTTGGAAATTAAAATGTAACGTGGCAAGTACTACTGATAAGATTTATCAGTAGTATATATACAGAGACGTTCATCGGCATGAAAACATTTAATAGCGGCGAGATACATTTGATTTCAGAGGAGGCGAATGATACAGCGTTGTGGAAATACATGGGAGACATGAAAGGAACACAACGAAACACAATATGAAGGACAGAAGTACCATAACACGAAGATCTATGGAAATAGTGCGTTGAAGATAAGATATACATAATTTGGCTATATAGAGATACCAATTTCCAAGTTAACATTCCTTTACCAAGTCTTCGTCTTCTACCGTTTCAGTAATACAATCCAACATAATTACTTGATATTTTTTGATTGCGTATAACACAATCATGGACTTCAGAAAACATTGTACAAGTGGAAGTTAAAAATGAAGTGAACAAATTTTTTGGAAACACAGATAATACTGTTCTGAAGGAACCTAGTCAACTTGTGAGTAGAGCATTAAAAATGCTGTATGTTCCAAAGACTTTCTTTACCTATCCCTCGTATTACAGAGGGGAAATTCATAAGGCCGATGTCTATTGATCGTGTTAAACAATTGACCACAGTAATGATGAAACTGGTCACTTTTACTCGATAAAGTAAGGTATGACGTGGTTCTGAAGGAAAATACCTTCTTTTTGACACACCCGTAAGTAGGTAATAGTTGTGACACTAATGGCAATGATAAACAGACAAAAGTAAATACCCTGGAAAGTGTGATTATTCATCTAATCTCATCTAGCAAACACGATGTATGTACAAGAACCACCTAACAGGTGTCAGGAGATTTTTTGGTTAGTTTACGAGGACTTCCTCGTGTAGGAGTAGTATTGGGCACCGGGGCATAAAAACCACTACTTGACTGGATTACATTGGATAGTCGCTTGTGCACTGTCCGAGTTAATGGGCCCGTTAGGAGAAAAGATTGTAATATCTATCGATGACTTTTTAAAATCTCCGCTTACGCCCTGACCAACTGTAATTAGGACGAAATAAAGGATGATTTTTATATAAAGCTTTCTAGCCTTCACATAGAATCAAAACGATCAAATTTAGTCATTTTAGCACGTAGTCTCAGTTTTCAGTTAGGAAAGCTGTACCAATCAGAAAACCATATTGGCGAAACTCATATTCTCCTATGCCAACGAACCGATAACCGTCTTTTACAGTTCTGTTAGGACAACCGACGGTTCCTCGTCAGCACTAACTTTAAACATAAGAGTAAACACTGACTGACCTAGCAACCTCTCCCAACGAATCAACGATGGACACAAATAGATCACGTAGATAAAAGCTATCGATGAAGAGGGTCATTAGAAGATTGTTACTCCATCTGGAACACCTGCGTAGATTCCGATCACGCTCTAGTCCGTGCACGTATATTCCTACAACTAAATACACATGTGAAACAGACAGCTATGAAGCGCCTACTTTGGGAAGAACAATTTGAGGAACAATTTAGTTGGCCTAGAACCACGCCAAATTTACCCAACATTCGACACCTGTCTAAATGAGAAGCAGGCATCAGTCCTCCAACTGACTAAGATCGCAAGAGCTGTCTCTAATCGAAAACAAGGCAGAGCAGCAGTATCTAATAGAATGACTTCAGAAACATTTAAGGATGGTGGTGACAAACTAATGACTACGATGACTAAGACGTCAGGTAATGTGCGGGAACCAGATATAGTTCTGATAAACTGGTTTAAATTAGTGATTATCTCAGTCTATAAGAAGAGAGACAAGTCTTCTTGTGATAATCAATATGCAGTTTAGCTTGACTAATGTAATATTTGGAGTTCTAGATTGAATGTCTGTCTGTCTGTTTTCGACATAAAACTTTGCACATATGAATAATCATGAGCAGGCTAAATGGTCCTTGGGAGAAAGGAGACCATGGTAACCAGTACGGCTTTAGATCCAGAAGAGGGTGTATTGATCAAACACCCACCCTTCGACAAATTGTAGAACATAGGCATACTTACCGACGTGTAACACTTGCCATATTTTTGACTTCAGCGATCGAGAGGTGTTGTGGCATTGTTTGCCTATGAAGGGAGTAATGTCACTAATCAAGACGGTCTACGCGAATTCAAGCAGTTATGTAACGGCTTATGAAGCGTTGACGTCTGAAATGACGACAACCAGTGGTGTCCATCAGGAATGCCCAATGTCTGTGTTTTTATTCAATTTCACAGACGCACTAGTGGGTGTGACTCTTATCTACTTTAGCGAATTAGTACCACAGAAATAGTCTCGTCAATTTAGAGTAAATATGCTGACAAAATGCAGTCTTCTGAACATCATGAGCAGAAGTCTCGGTATGCAATTCCCGATTATCATATGTCATGATTCAATGTGTTACCCACTTTGCTTCCTTGGGAAATTGCATCATTCCTAATGGACCGACCTCCGACTTAATCTCAGCTCGCATACAAAAGGCATTTATCAACTTACGTTTAGTGTAGACGTAATGTCCAGTCATCAATGGAAAGACAAGTATACCGTACGACGGTTCACTGCATCTTTTTATACTGCCGTGAAGTATGGTCCTTTAAAGTGAGACTTGAAGAAGCTAACCATTTTTAGTTATTGTTGTTTGCAGTCTGACTCTGGCATTAAGTGGTACACTATGGTGAGAAAAGCTGACGTTTGACGCAGTGTTGAGTATGGAAAGGGAATAAGTTGATGAGGCTGTGAAACTTCATCGACTGAGATGTCTACGCATGTCAAGCCACCGCCTTACTTGTCGAGAAATATTAATTGACAGGATTATTACTGAAAAAAAACTTACGAGTGGTCAAATCAAAACATGGCATCAATCCATGAAGTCTACGGTTGAATTTGAGTTACGTAGAGAGGTGAGGACAACATCGTTGTTGTTCTTTGTGAACCCCTGGGTTCATCAAATTCTCATTATTCTACAAGTAATTATTCTTCCTAACGTATATTTTCATTTCTTTGCATTCCTTTTTTTCTTTACCTTTGTGTGCATTTATGAAGTGTGGTAACTTGAACTGCTGCACTTTAGTGCAAAATTCTGGGATCAAAATTCAACTCAGTCTACGTTTCACAGTTCCAATCATAATCATCTTTAATGGTGGTTCAGGTATGAGCTCACTATACAGAAAGTCGGTTAAGAGTACTACGACTACTCAACTTCAATATATTTAACAAACGTATATGATAAACGTATACAATAAACTATATTCAAAAATTGTATAGTACGATGTGAGTCAGAAAGCTATTCTATAAACAATATGAAAGTTCTTCAGTTCAAATTCTTCATAAAGAAACAGTAAAAAATGATTACTTTTACACACACCTAAAAGTTTGGCAAGAAAGACGTAGAAACATACCCGGTCATATTATTTTTCAGGTATGCCAAAGCTGGTGTTTAAGATAGACGAATCCTCAAAACAATATGTTGTGATGTGAATATAGCTATCAGTACTGGATCTAGTGGGAAAAGTGATAAAGTACAGTTAAACATCGAGATTTTTAGTGCAAATAGGGCTAAAATAAAACAGCAATTCATTCAATGACCAGAAGTAGCTTATCCACGGTGTACAAATGGTCAAAATAATTGGATTCGTAACATTTAATCTTGCATTCGTATACGTCATTTAACACACCAAAGCACAACAGGTGTTCTTATCACCCAAGCATTTAATTCTTCATACGAAATTGTAAAAGTTGTCTTGGTTTTAACACAAATACTATCAACTTCTTCAGCATACACGCAACTAGCTTAGTGAAGTAAACATAGTCAAAGACAAAATCTTCGAGGCTAAAGGCCGTGAACTAATACATACCTCACCATTTAGTTACTGGATTGGGATTCAATGGACCATGAATTTTAGCTTTTGTTAATGAACAAAATCTGGTCACCGCAAACCAACCTGATTAGTGAGTATTTTTTAACTTGAATTTCACAGCTTTTGATTTGATTATCCTACCTCATCAGTTAACGGGTCTCACAAAAAAAACCCTAGTATCCAATGCCGTAAATATGCAGTGTGTTTGTGAGGTTTGTGCAAAGGATCTAAGTGCGGTCATTTGTTTGACTTTAACTGTCAAATTTTATGCTCCAAGAATGCAGATCCTACAACGGCCAGCTCTTACAACTTTACGTGTACGCGTGGCACTAGGTCCCACGGTAGAAACTGCACTACCCAACTGAAACTAGCACAATTTACAAAAACTGGTGCGTCGTACCAGTGGTCCTTATAGTCCTGAGTAAACCAACAACTATTTACGTGGCTCAAACCAATGAATTTATCCATTTATGCAGCGTTTTTGTCTGGCTATTCCTAACTCGTTTACGACCTAATCCCACTTCGGTTGATATAGCTTTTTGAGGATGGCAGTGGTTACGCATACGTAGTACGTCTCAAGCACCTCAGTCAATAATTATATTCTTTCTATCCTTACCTAACACTGCCCCAAACTAGTTATTATTCACACTGCCTTATCTGACATGGAAAACTGAACGAAGATATGCAACTGATCGTTGATAATCTAGCTTACTTCGGCCATTTGACCAACAACCTTTAATCTTCCTACATCTACTTTCAG